CGAATCAAAACTGGAAGAGGTTTTTTATGGTTTTTAATGTGATGCAAAACTATGCTCTGATAATCAAAATAAATGTCGACTCACTAAGAATTATTTAATGTGAATATAGCATTTATAATTGAACTAGCTGTTCCCGTGCCACTTCATCCGCGTAAAATTATAGAAACTTTATTCTATTGTTTACATTTGTCAAACTCTCAATTGCAAATGTCAAAACTACGGTTTCCAAGCTTCTTTAATGTTGACAGCTTGTAGTTTATGGTCCCTTTAACACATGAAGGTTTCCTTCTAAAATATTAACCCCCTAACTTCAATAGCATGAAATCATGTAGACTATAGCGTGTCGTAAGTGTAAGGCTTTTAATTAAAGAAATATTTATTCAAAAGAAAGTAGTGTGTGTTTACGCTTTATTATATTAGTATAGATTATATCCATATAAACTAAGATTTAAAATTGATGCTTTTGTCACTTTGACATAAGCTTTTTGCTATCTCACTATTTTACAAATAATTACAAATGTATTATTTAAAAATATCTGAATATAAAAGTACGAACAAATCCTTACCTCAAATCAAATCAACAGTAACCTATAACTCTTAGCTATTAAACGTATTATAAAATCAACCTACAAAAACTGTACGTTACAGAAAAGGTGGAACATAAATCTTCCTCAAAGAAACATTGATATTACACTCAATTATGCCGTCCAAATTATAATAAATCTCCAAATAATGCCCCAAAGTTGTTGCGCTACTTCAGGTGATCGTTACGTTACATTTAGCCAGAGGGCGAATGCAATCTTCATTAAGTTACATTTATTTTTATTATCATAGAGTAGTTTAACATTTTGAACTCGTAAACTGGGTCAAATAACGCGACCTCTCAGAGATCTGAAATTTTTAGGGTGAGTTGCACCATATCGCCGGTTACCGTTAAAGTTAAAATTATCTGTAACTGTAATATTTGGAATAACCTTAAAATTTATTAAGGGTGAGTTACATTAACTAACTATAAACCTTAACCAGCACATTCCCGATGATTACATCTGCGGATGTTCATGATATTCGCTACACCAGTTTTGCGCTGGTCAAAGTGACGTCATATTTGACACTAATCATAACCGCCCGATTTTGGGCGGTTATAGTTAGCGTTACGGTTAGTGTCAGTTCGGTAGTGTCAACTGTCACAAGCTCTTATCTTCAAAAGTACAAATAATGGAAAAAGTAATGGAAAAAGAAAATCTCTACTATTATCCTATACGTAATCCAGAAGAATAAAGTCTTGCGTGCTCGGAAATAATGGATTTCCAAGATGGAACTCGAAATTTGTCCAAACATTCAGTTTGGACAAATTTCCGAGTGTCTATGGCCATAGCAACAGCGCTTGTCCCTTTTCTCTTATTTAAAAAAATGTCCTCCATAAAAGGACAATTTATAATATGCATTGACAGGACAATTTATGATATGGAAAATAAATAAGATGCATTTATATTTGTATAATTTTATTGCTTCATTTTTGGCACTACATATTTGAGTAGTAAAGTAAATACAGTTTCAATAATGAGCCAAACTAGTTTATTTTCTCAATAGTACCATTTTCACCATCTCCGTGGGCAAAAAGTTTATGTCACTACAAAATACCATGCGTATGATACATAAATGTAATCGGCGAAATATGAATTTCCAAACATTTTAATTTACGTAAATATCATTCTTGACACCAACTTGACACTTTAGTGACATTCAGGTTCAAATGTTTCCATTGTAAAAACGAAAAACACATAAAACCTCTGTGAGAATATGTTTTTGCACTTGTAACCCTATTATAACTTTTACGATAACCAGCGATTTGATGCAACTCACCCTTAAGTCACATTATTCTTAACCAGAGCTGAAAAACATTTCATCTCATTTACAATGTTCTAATTGTAAAGCAGTCTATTGTTTTTGTATTAGAAATCTTAACATTCAAAAACAAAACACAAGCGAGTTCCCCCATCGAAGGAATTAATAGAGTGCCAAATTTCTTCGTTACCATTTCAACGCTTGGAATTCCATAATGAAAAGGTTTTGGTGTAACTTTTTAATTCACACAGGCGCGGTGTATTATACTCCGTTGTCAGTACAGTTACGATTTGGGGTAAGAGCGTACTGCTCCCTTAAATACCGGTAACGCATCTGTGGTTCCCTTGTCGATTCGCATGTACATTAAGCGATCCGGACACTATATCCTTTAAAAATTAAATAAAACTCGGTTTAGAACTTTGGGCAATAACCATGGCACTACTTATTGCATCGGGTAATAAATTCATTTTGGTCGTATTATAAACAATGAATCAACTATTTAGAACAATAAATCAAAACGTCAATAAACATCGCAGCCGCATGACAGACTAAATCGCTTCAGAGGTACCCAGGAATCTTCCATATTTAACTTTAATCCACTGGGGAATTGCTTTTAATTGGAACAAAAGAAGGAAAAGCGTTGAACGTTTATTGGAATCAGTCGGAATAGTCACGGGAGATTTCGGCATTTTGTACCATTTCGTTGGCGATTAGACCTCAATCGTGAGGGATCCGTTGCAATTTCGATTGACTGGCAAATTGCGGAATACCAACGTTTGGCAACATCAAATTGTACCATCTGTCAAAGAGTTGCGTACCACTTAAGGTCGGTATCAGATTGTGAATAATAGCGCTATTAGTTGCAACGATTTAGTGGTAAGAGCTATCCATGTCAATTATAGTATTACACAAATAATACGTATTAATTTCTAATTATTTTAAAGGATACCTAAGGATTATTCTTTTATTACAACTTGCGAAGTTCGGAATTCATGAGAATAACAACTCGTTTTTATATTAACGACATTTGTAATTCGTTATTCTTTTTTCAAAATTGTAAACATTTGTGGCAAATGCGTTTTAATCATGACCAGCTCACCATACGTCCCCACCGAGGGACTCGGAGCCTATCTTAAGTCAGGGTGACTAGGACATAGTCAACCACGCTGGCCCACTGCGGGTTGGTTGACTTCACACATATCTTTGAATTTCTTCGCCGATATGTGCAGGTTGCATCACGATGATTTTTTCACCGTAAGAACGTCAGGTAATGTAGTACATATGAAAATTAGAAAAAATCGAAAATAACATTGATACATGACGGGTTCGAAGCCAAGAACTGTAGATTACAAGTCAAGTGCTTAATCCACTGAGCCACTGACGCTCCCATTTTTTTTTAATATAGCCTAATTATTTATTCCAATTATCAAGACTTTAGAGCTTATATGCCTTCGATAGTATTCTTCCTTTTGTATTTTGATACTAAGAAATTATTTTATTCTTTACGAATTAAAATTGCAATTCAACCCAGAAGACGTGACTTTTATAAGGTTTACGTAACAAGACACCAATCTAAATGTTAACGGCGCACTAATTTAATTTATATGTTACGTTATAAATGCAAGATAGTTTGATTGAAAACATTTTATCACGATCGCCATATTGTAAAAACGATTAAAAACAGACCTCCGTTTCAAACAAAGATTTAGTTTTTGTGAATGTAAAAATTTCCTTCCTAATTGTAAACCCAGACAAGTCAAGCAAACTAACAGTGGGCACATCTATTGGCATATTTAACTCATCGTAAGACCTGTAGCGACATCCTGTTTTTACTAAGGACATTTTCTAGTGCAGCCATTTGTCACTAGATGGCGCTGAATGGATTTAAGGACAATTGTTTTGGGTGTAATTTTTTTTTTTAAATCCCGTGATGTATTCATTTATTTTAATTACTGTACTTTTAAATGCGACGTTATTAATAAAAATGTAATGTACATTAATATATTTATTTATACCCATGACATGCATATGCTATGCATGGAAATGATATTTTAACTTGATTACTTATATTTAATTTAATTTAAAACTTAAAAAATGTCGACCACGAATTATAACAGTTTAGTTTGAATATGATTTAAGACAGAATTTCGAATCTTCTCCGAAACTTTTCAATCAAAACGTAACCTACAATTATAATTAATTTCCGTTCTATCATTATAATAATGGCAGTATCGCACGATCTGTGACGTCACGCCACTCTCTAATGGAGGAATGAACACGCTACGAATACATTTAATTTAGTAAATCCCGTTTAATTGACATTAATTTAAGCCTTAATTTCTTAGACTTATTTGTCCCAGATATATTTAATGCTTCTCGGGCTTTGATATTTTGCTTGTCGTCGTGCTTAAAACCTTATTTAATAACACATTTTTAATACCGTAGTATATAGTTGTATCTAAAATTTGTTCATTTAGCTTAAGTAAATATTCAAGGCTTTTAAATTGTATAGACAATGATGTTTATAGTCCGTAAGAAAAAAAACTGGATTTTATCCGAAAGGCATTTGCAATCTACATTTTTATACGATTCCGTCGGATATATTCAGTACGGCAAGATATTAACAAATAGGTCAGGTATTCAGGTAAGGTTAGGTTAGGACTTAATGTAACTTACTATTAGAGAAATAATTCATAATGTAACATAATGTTTGCGATTTTTTTTTCTTTGAAATCCGTATAATATAGCGTAATTTATTATGAAATGATCAACGGATACTTTCCGAAGTCAGAATCATTTAAAAAAGTCTTAAATTTCACGGTAATTGATACTATAATAGTTAAATAATTAACATAATAATCCACTTTCGTGAATCAATTTTCAAATAAAATTCTTTCTAATAAATTATTCATTATTACTATTAATTAGTAGGCGTTATTAAATTAACATAATTTAATTAATATTAATTACGTATCATCAAATTAATACAAGAGTTTGACGACAGTTAATTAATGATTAAAATAAAATTGCCGTTTATTTGAAATCAATTTTCAAAATAAAACAAAAGATAAATTTCAATATTTTCTTTATGTTATTTCTTTTATATTTAGCCTCCTTGTTTACAATAATTATTTAAGTATTTTACATATATACAATAGTTAAATTAAGATTCAAATTATATTAGCATAAGCCTAATGTACAGACGGTACTGGTATATAAACTTGAAATCTTAATTTTACATTTTTTACTTAACACTAACTTAAATTTAAAAGGTACGTCAAAATTCTCCTAATTATAGATCGCTGTCATAGCCAGGAATTTTGGAATGGAACTTAAAACTTAGGTAATACTTTTTGGTAACTATAGTTAACCGTAACTTAGGCCTATTTGAGATACTATCACAATAAATAAATCTCTAAGAAACATAACAACAATAAACAATAATTTCAGTCTTTATAGTTGAAATAAGATCAAGTTATAACTAAATGGAGTTTAGTTTAGAAATGACAGTTACAAACAAAAAATTAAAGAAATATTTTACCTTAGAGTAAAGATATTTAGTACAGTAGTGGAATTCTTTGGCTATAATATACTAACATACAGTAATAATGCCTCTAATTCATTGCTGTTTGCGTCGATGTAAATTCGATGGACACTTGTGAAACTGGACGAATCGCAAGTTCGTTGACGTCCTTACATCGAGCTTTAAACCAGTTCAACATGATGAATGACAAGTTCACTTTCTACAAAGCCTTATTATCTAACATTTAACGTTTCATAATATCTTCTATTGAAAAACCTAACGGTCTTTTGGGAGGCTCTGTTGGTGATTGTAAATTAGCTTGCGAAGGTTGTGGTTGGTAAACTTGTACTGGAGGTGACGCTGGTTTGTGTGAAAGGTCGAGAAGTGGACTTTCTGCTACTTGACTTGTTGATGAAACTTCTTGACAACCCTCGAGGTGCTCTAGATGATGTTTATTCGCATCACTGTGTGTTAGCAGATGTGTCTTCAAGTTAGATCTTTGGTTGAAACTTTTGCTGCAAACTGGACATTTGTGGGGAGACTCTTCCATGTGTAAAATCTTGTGTACCGCCAATGTCCTCGATTGGCAGAAACCTTTTCCACATTCCGTGCACTTGAATGGCTTCTCTTTCGAATGAATATATCTGGAAAGATAAAAAAATAAAAATAAATATCGTGTGTCGAAATGTTTTATAAACAAAGTTAAAGAAACCAAATAAGACGACTTTAATGGATTTGAAGTTATTATACGTGTTCCGAATGAAATTAAGGCATTTCCACATTAAGCGCATTAGGCAGTGGATATAATTTGAAAGGAAAAAAAATGAGTTTGTCTCGTAAAAGCGAAGAAATATAAGGTGTAATTTGTTCGACGACGGAGCGAGATAGATACGGCGATCGTAACCAACGGAACCGGTCGATGCGCGTGCGCTGCGCCGACGCGACCTCACAAAAACTTTTACACTTTTGTTTTTTTTTGTACTCTTTCTAACAAAACCTTAGCGAAACAAGACTTTATCGCCGTCGGTAATAGAGAGTTTAATGCTTGTAAATTAAATGTGCAAATCTCATGTTATTACCTAACTTTTTAGCAATTAATAAAATGATTCTGTAAATCCGAAATCTTCTTAATCGGAACGAATGTGGTCACTTTGTATTAAAAATGAAGACTAATCAGTGTGTAAACACAATAAATAACTAACTAAAAATGTAAACTCATCTATGATTAAACATAAGGATAATTAAATGTTGTCACTTCAACTCACCTATGGTCTCGTAAATGGTCCTGTCTTCTGAAAGCTTTCCCGCAGATGTCGCACGAATAAGGTCTCTCGTCCGTATGGGTCCTCTCATGAATCAGCAGATTGTAGGATTTGGTAAACTGCCGATTGCAATATTTGCAGATAAACTGTTTCTTGGGCCTTGCGCCGGGCACGCCGGGCGCTCTCATCGGGGGAGGATTCCTGCCTGGTAATCTATGCGCCATTGCCCCTGGGTATCTAAGCGTATGATGGTACAGGGCAGCGTTTCTGATCCATTGGTTGACCAGCATAGCGTGGTAAGGGGCTGTGGGAGGTAGGGTTGCGACTTGAGCTTGCATATACGCTGACATAGGATGGGTATAGCTCTGCGGAGCCTTGTCATATGGGTATGGGGTCTGCATAGTTGTCGCGGGGCGCGGGTAGGCACCGTAGGCCGGTGGCCAGGCGGGCTGGTGACGCGATATGACGACTGCGGGTGGCGTATCGTCGGTAGGCGTGCGCGGCGGCGTCGGCAGCGGCGGCGACGGCCGCTCCAGCTTCACCAGCGCCTCTAGCGGGAAATCAGCCGGATAGCCTGTAAGCAATAGTACAACATAAGCATAACGCAACATATGTAGATCACTGGAAAAAGTTGAAAATAAAAAAAAAAAACTAATATCATAAAGCATTGGAATAAAGAAATCGTACTATAAATTAATCCATCTGATGTAGAATTTTATTTAAATAAAAAAAAAACATTTTTTTTTATAATTCATGCAAAACAAACACAATAATTAAATATTCCTTCTACTTACTGTGATTTTCTTCAATATGCTCCTCTTCTTCTTCTTCGATATTAATATCGTCAGAACTGTCAACACTGTAAGGTTTGTCTTCCATATCCAGAACGGAACAATCCATCGGAACTGCACACAACAACACCGAACTCTGCACTTTGGTATATCAACACTGTGCCTGTCGTCACTGCTAAACCGGTTTGTGAACTGACAACCGGTCGAGGTGAGCGCGCGGAGCGTTATGAGCCTGTGTGCGTTCGCTATCGGGGCCCGCGCAGGCGCGTGGCGCGGAGGGAGGACATCAAAGGTGCCGCGCCGGTCGGCGCTTGTGTCGGCTCCCGAAGAGGCCGGGCGCCGCCCATTGGGCGGGGCATACGCGGCTCGGCCTTCAGTATCGATCTGTAACAATCGCGAATCGACTTAACCACCCCACTGCTAACTGCAACAAGGTTCTATGATTTCGAAGCTCGGCTTACCATTGGAACCCTGTCTAAGTGGTAACTTAAGTGTTGTCTCGCTTTGATATTGTGTTCAGTTAATGCCATGCAAATTTTTGGTGACAGAGCGTCCCCCAGTGAAGCTATTAGGTGAGCAGATTGCTTCAGTAATTGCGTCTCGTAGGCAAGTCTTTATACTGGATTTAATGCCTTTGTTCGGGCTCTCTTTGTAATTTGACTACAAGCGCGTGATAGATGTGTCTAACTAACCAAGTATAGCTTTATGTTAAAATAAACTGGTTTTTGTTTTTTTCATAAATCCGAAAATTAAAGTAAATTAAGTAATTAATTTTACATTTGTACCTATTTTTAACATTTTTTAAATCAACTGCATAATTAGTTAGATAAGCATCTCTGGATCAGCTTTCAATAATTATGAATTCTGGCCTATTTTCTTACTATGTACATTTTTCACGGAAAGAATGAACAAAAATGTTTTACTTTAACAAACAAAATTCGTTAGTTTCACTAAGCTTTTACATTTCTTTTACTTGTCTACGCATTCTTTTGTTCTTAACCTAAACAATTGGATAAGTTTAAAGGTAATGATCACAATAGAGGTCAATAAAATACGTAAATTCTTTTGTCAAACACTTGCAAAATTCGCAGAATCGTTCTCGCGAAAACATTGTATACTGTAGTAAGTGCAGAGACATATAAAAAATATCGGCAAGTCTTCAAAGCTAAGTACAAATATTTAAGTTTAAAAATTATGATGTAAGGTTTGTCGTATTCATTCAATTAGTTTGAACTTCAAATATTAAACTAGATAATTCTAAAAAAGTTTGGTAATCCAAACTTTTATAAAAGCACATTATTGTTCACATCCATACAACTAAGTGACAAATTATAAAATAACAAAAACTTAATACATACTTTATAACACTACCTACGTGATCTTGAAAGGGAAAACGCAGTTGTTTAACAAATGTTCGAATAAATATATACGTTATATTATTATATATAGCTTTGTTTAAAAAAAAATAACTTCTGACATTCACTATTTGTAAGTCTATTCGTGTTTTGTACCGTCCTATTCGGGATAGAAGTCGAATCGAATGTCACTTCTTTCAAAATCGGTTCCATCGTTTATGCTCAGAGCCGTCACAACAGATTTTAAATAAATATAAACCAACATACATAAACTTATTGTCCTTTTTGACAGACAAGCAAAAATGAACAAAAAAATAAAATGGAAAGCAAATTAATCCCTTATTACATATATGCACATATTAAGAATAATGAAAGCTTTTGTTTCCAAAATTAGTTAGCATTTAACATTACAGACTACTAGAGGAACTAAGTCTTCTAGTTATTTATACTGGCAGACAAATGCCCATCCTAAAGTAATTTTATGTAACAGTGAATTATGCCCAAAAAAACTAATGGAATAATGACTAATTTTAGTTTAACGAAATTAAATAAAATACTAGCATTGAAACATCACAATGGTCATTGATGGCAATTGTACAAACACATTGTGTGACGCGTGTGGTGTGTCGTGTAGCGCGCAAACATCGGTCAGGTGAGCGCGGTCAGGCGCGTGTCGGCGCCCTTTGTACCGACATCAAAGGCGCCGACGCAAACACTGGCGAACACAACATCCTAACATATTGCATCGCGAATATGTTCTCTACTTACCAGTGGTTAGGGACCTTAAAATGTTAAATCGTTTGTTACATTATTGTTTTAGTAAAGATCGCCGGCTGTGCCACTAGACACCTTGTTAAGTTAACAGTTAACTTGTTGAAAGTTGTGCTATTGTTTGAATAAATCTAAGCGTCAATGAAGACTTTATTCTGCTTAATTCATTGATCGATAGAATGTTTTAACCGGTATTAAGAACGATACTAATAATAACAAATTACTTAGCCCGCAGCTTCGGTTTCTCGCTATTTATTCATGTACAGTCAGATCCTTAAAAATGTTTTGATTTCCAAAACTGTAGCTTGTGTACGTTTTCGATTTCAAAAATGTAAATGCACGAGATCATCAATAATCATCTTTTCTTGGTTGGAAGTCTACGGACGAATATGTACTGCGTGTTTTTAAAACCGTTGTCGTATACAAGTTTTAGAAAATGAATACATGTTTATGCAGCTGATTGTACAATTGAATTTATAGTAATTGTTAAGAAAAGATACATTATAGTCACAAGTATACAAGTATAGACTACTGTGGACGTATGAGATGCAGTTTAATTTGCTCTTTACTTGTAAAGTATAACTTTTTCAAGTATAGAATACACTTTTAATTAGTAACAGTAATTAAACTGGGTAAAAAGTGATGAAACAGTCTGTAAAAAGAAATAACTTGTCTTCCATTTTGAATTGTATTCTTTCTTATAGTGAGTTGTCCAGAAACTAACTCTACATTGTGGTATTAAATATTTAAAAAAAATCCTCGATTGTTTTATTTATATACCATACCATATACCCGTATGTTTGAATTAGAATTATTAAATAATTAGCTTTCGCCTGCGACTCCGTTCGCGTGGATTTAATAAAAAAGGTAAGTAGCCTATGTGTTCTTCCAGACTATCCTCTACATCTGTGCCAAATTTCATCAAAATCCGTTAAACCGTTTAAGCTACAAACTCTAACAAACATCCATTCACCCATCTAAACATTTGCATCATACTAATATATGTAAATGTGAAAGTTTGGATGGATGGATAGATGGATGGATGTTTGTTAGAGTTTGTAGCCTTAACGGATGAACGAATCTGGATGAAATTGGCATAGATGTAGAACATAAGCTGGAAGAACATAAAGGCTATTTTCTTTTGTTTTTTTTTTTTTAATTTCACGCGGTCGGAGTTTCGGGCGAAAGCTAGTTTATAATATTGGTAAGATAATATGTTATAGAGTTCACTTACAAAGCTCGAGTTTACGCGTTACTTCAATTGCATGAGCATCTCGTTGTATGATTTATTTTATAAACAGTTAATAGCTACACTCGGCGGTGCTATTGTCGGCGAAATTAAAGGGAAAGATAATTAAAAGTGCTATTGGTTATTGAATCAAGTCGATAAAATTATTTGGAACGTTATTCTAGAATATAGAACCACCTAAAGTCTTTAAAACTTAATACATTACTTAGAATTCAATTCCAAAACTTATATTTTAAATGATCTATGTCAAATATTCGTACATAGAATCAACTTGCTTTAAAAAACGTTTTTGGAAAATCTATACTATTATAATAAAGCGTAAACACAGTGTCTCATAGTGTATGTGGGAAAGAGACCATAACTTATTACCAACATCAAGGAAGCAAGGTTGCCATGGTTTGACATCATGTCATTTTGACATTCGCAATTGATAATTTGACAAATGTGAACAATAAAACGAGATTTTTATAATTTTTATGCGGATGAAGACATGGGAATAGCTGTTAATGTTAAAATAAAAATGTACTTTTTTAATGAATGTTGAACTTCAAGACAAAATATAATTTGTAATAAAAACATATAAAAGTAACATTTACGTAATTTAATATGACTTACCGATTCGAGAATAATACATCCATCACTTCGCACAAAAATACTGGCATACTTATTTTACGGAGGCTCATATTTTATCCGAAACCAAACTAAAATATATTAAACTTTGTCACGTTAATCCTACCTAAACATAAAATGATATTTACACACGACTTCTGTGTCAAAGTCATTTATGTTTACATTACTCTACACGGATCACTTAGAAGCAAATAGCCCGTTTAATACCCGCAAGAAACTGTTTTAAAACAATAAAAATGATGAAGTTGTCTAGACAATTTACTTTATTGCCCCTCGATATGTGATAATGTTTTAATCTAAGCCTTGTAGAGCTCAAAATGTTTATAACCACTCTTAGACAACTGTTTAATGAACAGGGAAATACGTTCTTGGATTATTTTAAAGTGTAATTGCTTGGGTTTTTTCGATGGCGTTTCGTTTTTCTTTTGTTTTTGTGACTGAATCCTTGTGAATTCCTATACATTGACGAGTGATGAAGGAAATCCATATGGTTTTATCTTTACTGTGTATAGGTGATATGGATACTATATCAATTATATATTATTTAATAATATAGGGACTGTATTGGTGTACCCATTAATAGTCCCTATATTATTATGTCTTGATTTAAACAATATGGGATCATATAGATTCATAAGTCTATTCAAATAATTTATACTAAAATATGAATTAATACTTTTTGCATTGTTTGATCTGCTTTTAAAATATTTTTTATCTGTAAAAGTCAATTATAAAGCATTTATATGAGATTGTAATGAACTTAAAATTGCGAGGGACAAAGCTTTGTTCGCTTTAAGCAATGAAGGGTGAAATAACCTAACAATCACGTTATTTAAATGAACCTTCATACTGAAGCATCAAAGGTATGAATAATAGTATTTTAATAACAATTACTTTAAAATACGGACCAAAAATATTTAAATCTAAAACCTTTCTAAGACCGTATCAGAATACATTATAAAGCATAATATCTCCGGACGACTAGATGAGCTAAATTGACTATTTAACAAATGACGTAGCAACGAAACGGAGCGCAAACAAATTTTTTTATAATACCTTCAATAAACTTCTTCATTTGCTCTGAGATAATAAGAAAGATTAACACTAATTAGAGCAATATGAGTGAGATATCACTCTAAGTAGAGTCATACGTTTCCTGTCAAAGTTACGTAAAATTAACGTATTGTATGAAAACTGACGACTTATTCACTTCTAGCAGAAAGTTATAGCGGTATAACGCCCTGGGCGAGATTTGTACAACGCCCTCTTCTGTTCAGCGCCCTGGGCGATCACACAACCGTGCCCTACCCTAACACCGGTGCCAAATCGTAGCTTATATGAGAACATATGGAATGTTTATT